GGGTGGAGGGCGTGAAGGGAGGGCTAGGAATGGGGAAAAAATAAGAACCAAGATGCATTATATAAAGGTACAATTCCCAATGAGAAAAAAAAAAAGAATCTTATGTTCTTGTTGGCTTTGTAACCTATTTTTGATCATTAACATACCATTATGAATTTTGCTTGCTTCTGCTTTTAGTCAGCCATCACATAACAGAGAGTATTATAGAAGCTATAATAATGAAGTAGATCATTCAATTTAAAATTACATCTTATTCTTTATGTCATCTTATTTTTTAAATTTTGTTTTGTTTTGGTGTGACTTTTAATAGTACTCAGACAAGAAGCTCCTCTACTATGTTGGAAATCCTATGTTGGACACTAAAATATGTCCTGTAACAGATTTAAAATCACATTCCCCACAAATGTTTGTTGTGTTGGGGTCAAACAAGAAGTATTTTTTAAATGAGTATATACATTACAAAGTATTGTAAAATCGTCCCCAGGGAACAACAAAATTAATGAAGCTTCAGAGATAATTTCTAGATAAAATTACTAGTTTTTAAAAAGTTTTCTTTCGTTTGATTTGACCCAAAATTAGCACTGGCCAACCTGTTTTAAACCTTGCCTTTGGTCAATCTGCTCTAATACAAACAGTCCTTCAACTAAATCTTGTGAGGCTGGCCCTGAAAATGATTGCTGTGATTGAAAGCAGGCTGAGGGTGAATACTGAAATGAGCAGTAAACAGAAGATTATATGTGAGGAAGACTGCAGAAAACAGTAATTTGAAGCTATACCTATTGTCCTGGACTAGTCTGAACACTGCACAAATAGGATACATTTTAATCTTCACAGCTGTGACAGATACAACAAAAGCCATTATGCAGATGCCATTTGGGGGCCTTGGAGATTTAGTAAATGACCTCAAACTATACAGATGTTGAGCAGAATATAAAATTTTGATTGCAGGGCCCATGCAGGGTTTGCCAATAAATTTACTGTTCTGATAGGAATGTGTGCTGTGCTAAAGATTAGTACCAGGTTACTTGTTTTAGAGCAAGATGACATATGTACTAAATTGACAGATCACCTTAAACATTGCAATCTAATAAAGCTTATTTTTTCCTTCTGGATAGATACTATCAGAGTGCAGGAGAATTAAATTAAGACAAGCAATTTATCTCTACATTTTCTCCTCAAGACAAAGAAGAATATAAATATTGGCAGAAAATGTAGTTGCTTATATTTTTATTAGTAATGCTTCTCCATTAATGTCATTTTGAAAGAGAATTCAATGGTTTAATTGCATTTAGGGCTAATCAGTGTCTTATCAGTGTAGGTGAAATACAGATTTTCGTGCATTATCTTTTTCTCATTAGCTATCCCTAATTTTCATAATAATTATTAACATAACATACCATTAATATACTCAGGAGGTGTCAGAAAAGATTGTATGTCATGCTGCAATTCATTAAATCAGAGAAAGAACTGTTTCATTTCTCAACTTCGATAGATAATTTATTTTACAGTCATGAAAGACAATTTATCTGCTGTCTAGAATTTTCTATTAGTGGGAAAAACAGTTTTAAAAGTATTTATCTATAAGAGAGAATTTAAGAGATCTCTATACAATTTCTGGCTTTTTGCAGTCTAGGATTATTTTTATATGAATTTAGCTCTTTGTTAAAAAATCTAAGCAATTTAATGCCTTTTCAATTATTTTTTATTTTACTTGAGAGAATTTTAAGATTGTTTTCATTTATCATACATATATTAATTACTATAAAATTATCCCACTCAATTTTATGATATGTTATAGTGTGATGGAATAGGCACAGGTAAGGACTTTCTGAACAGAGAGAGCCCTAGTTGCACTGGAAATAGTACCCAGAATCAACAAATGAGATCATATCAAATAAAAAAAAACTTCTGCACAGCAAAGGAAACAACCAAAAGAATGAAAAGACAATCTACAGAATGGGAAAAAATTTCCAGCTATTCATCAGACAGAGGACAAAGACTAATATGCAGAATATATTAAGAACTGGAAAAAAAAAAAAACTAGATTCCCCTCAAAATAAAAGACCCAATCAAAAAAACGGGAAAGTGAAATGAATCCAACACTTCACAGAAGAAGTGCAAATGGCCAGTAAATACATGAAATGTTCAACATTTCTGGCCATTTGAGAAATGCAAATTAAGACAATATTGACTTCCATCTTACTACAGGCTGAATGACTATCAAGTAAACAAAGAACAAATGCTGGCAAGACTGTGGGGGTAGTGGCTGCGGAGGAACCCTTCTACACTAAGGAAATCAATATAGAGATTTCTTAAAAAACTGAAACTAGAAATTGCATTTGACCCAGCCATTCACTGTCTAGGTATCTTCTCAAAAGATTTAAAGACATCATATCACAGTAATACATGCATAACCGTTTTTATTTATTTATTTATTTGTTTGTTTTTTGTGCTGGGGATCGAACTCGGGACCTTGCGCTTGCGAGGCAGGTGCCGGAACCACTGAGCTAAATCCCTGGGCCAACGCATAACCATTTTAATATCAGTAAAATTTAAAACAGCTAAATCTTGAAAATGGTTTATATGACTATCAACAGATGAATAGATAAAGAAAATATGGTTTTTATACACAATGGAGTACTACTCTGCCATAAAGATAAACGAGTCATTTGAAGGAAAATGAACGAGACCATAATGTTAAGTGAAATAAATCACACACACAAGCTTATATATCTCATATATAAGAAATACAAACTATAAATAAAGAGTGAAATAAAAGACAATAGGAAGTAGAATAGAGATTTCTCAAAGAGGAAGTGGATGAAGAGACTTAGGGAGGGGGAGAGAGAGAAAAGAAAGGGGATGTAAAAAGGGAATGAAGATGGGTTATGTACTAACTCCACACAAGTAATATAAATATAATGTACTGCTAATATCTATTAATAAGAACAAAAATTTCTAATATGCCCCTTTAAATTTTTTTTTTCAAAACTGTTTCCTAGATAATGTAATACTAATACTTCCTAAAGACCAAAAGTATTCCCCAGTACTTTGTTAGAAGTTGTGTCTAAAAAGCTGATACTGGTACATATACTATTTTTCCTCTTAAATTTATTATAAAAAGAAAGATGGGTCCCCTGTTTAGTTTAAAGAGCAATGATAAAATAATTGACATTCAACAGAATTATGTTTTTCATAGTTTTTACCCACTGTACATGCTAAATTTAGAATACTGGATTTTAAGATTACTATTACTACTATTAAAGATAATTTGATAGCTAACAATGACCCAACATTTATTGAAAGCTATCATGGAGCCATTTTCAAATGTACAGTAGCTTATGAGCTAATAAATGCAAATTATATTGGCTTTCTATAAAAAATATCACTCCAGGCCTGCTGCTTTTCATTAAAGTAAATTAATTAAAATTACTAGGGAGAATTATTTATTTCTTATTTATTTGGGACTAAATTTTAAGTAACCCTTATGCTTTCCTCTTTCTATTGGACATACCAATAGACAGTTTAAATTAAAATGTATTTAAAGAAAAATGAGTGGAAATTTTTAAGAGCTATTTTTCTCAATTTTCTGAGATTAATGTTGTCACTAGACAGGTCTCCTGTGTGAGGTCAGCACAGCACAAAGTTAAATGGGTGTTTAAGAAATTAGAAGATATAGTTTCTTCCAGGTCATCATTCCACAGGCCCCAGCCCAGAGGAAAAGGCTTCCAGGCCACCATTCCACTGCTCCCAGCCTAGAGGAGGTGAGCTGCATGGGTGCCAACAGCGCCCTCCCTACCCCGTTGAAATGAGAAGACACATAAAAAAGTCTCAAACACAGACTTCCAGATCACCTACAGCAATCCCAAAGGGAAACGAGATGGAACACTCTGATGCTCAGCCACCTGGACTCCCTGAACTGGCAAAAAAAGAGGATCTGGAAAAAATGAAATCAGAAATAATT